TCGAGTCTTTGGCCTGAAAAAATTGCTGTATTATAATATAAAATATATAAATATATATAATGTCTTATTGACTGTCATTGTTTTAGTCTTTCAGCCTTTCAGAGTCAGAGTTGCTCTTTCTCTCTTGTACAGCTCGGTGCTGCGACCTCAGCTGACTTACGGGTTTGAATCCCAGCCCAGTGCTGACTTCTACAGGAAAACCGCAGCAACTTCACAGAAAGGAAAAGGGAGGGAAATTAAGTTTGTCCATCTGTTTTGAGGACTGCACTGTTTTTCTTTTTTTTTTTCTTTCGTGAGCAACATTGATAAATGGAAAGCACTTTTCTCTGCATCTCGTCTTTATAATATCCTTCTCTGCGGTCAATATTGAATAAACTCCTATTTTGTCGCTAAAAATTGAATAAGATGTGTCCTTGTGGGGACAGAATGGCCTCAGTGTTTGGACATGATTCACCAAAGTGCACCAAGCATCCAAACGCACTGCAGTGGAGTACAATGCAGAACGAGGCATTGATTTACAAAGGAAAAGAAATCTCTTTCTTCTTTATTTCATTCTCTCCCCTGAGTTGTTGCTACTGCTTTTACAGCAGGCGGACGGGGGCATGAATGGAGGGAATGATTCCACCTCTGCAGTACACGGCAGCAACACCGGTGGTAAAGGTGTGCTACCTTTTTGTCTGTTCTGTCTGAGCGAGCGCAGCTCCTCCTCCTCAGGCCCACTCCTCAGCACGCCCCGGCAACAATCAGAGCAGAGTGACTGAAGCATGGCGGAGAGGAGCGTACGAGCGGTGGAGGGCTGGGAAATTACCAAAAGGAATCAATTCGGTGTGTTTCCTCCCTCCTCTGAAAAAATGTCTATAAATCAGGCAAAGGGCCGAACCCAAACAACAACCTTTTAAAAAACTGTCTACACCGACACAATGCATCAGCGGGCCACGGAGCAGTGGGTAATATGGCTGTTCCTGCGCCGCAGTAAATCCCTTCATCGCCTTTACCTCTCCTCCTAACACAGCTTTGCTGATCACCGTGCGACCTTGGTGCGTTCTCTGCTGGACTCATCCATATTTCTTTATCATGGCGAGCAGTGTGGGTTTCTGTGAGAGTGTGTACGAAGGCACAGGCCCGGGATTTGATTTGTACTGTCAACATGGAAACCAGGGAAATAGGCAACATCTTAATAAGTGACTCACCTTTAGCTTCGTCCCTGTATTTATGTGGACTTAAAAATGATGTGCTTTTAGCTACATTTGAAGTAGCGTCATGCTATTATCTGCTATATCACTAGTTACCTCAGAAGGCCAACCGTTCCACGCACTAGCGTCATGCTATTATCTGCTATATCATTAACTACCTGAGAAGGCCAACTGTTCCACGTACAAAATCTAAACTTTAAATAATCCTTCTCATTCTTCCTGTGGTAAATTACAGTAGTAGTCAACTCTGTTTTCCACTCCTGAGTTTCTCTGGCAGCACCCTGGGACCACGCCCCACACTTGAACAACACCAGGTTAAAAACTAGACTTCTTCCATCTCTGGCTCTGCTGACACTGACTGTAGCTGTAATCAAACTATTTTCTTCTTATATTTTTCTTTTTTTAAAGTCCATGAAGCTTCAGCAGATAAAAGGTAAAAGATTGATTCACATCGACGTCACTGGCGTTAGCGTCTGCACTGACTTTTTTTTTTTGATAAACAAACTTCAAGTCCATTGAACAATTATTTTGCAAATTACACGACGGGGAACTATCAGTTCCAGGGTTGTTTTCCCATGTTTCTCTTCCTGACGCTATCACCTCAGCGGGGAAAGGATGCTTAATGGCGGCAGCCAATAAACCAAAAGGCAAGGCCAGAAGCACTGATGGAATAAATTAGTGTCCTGCTCTCAAGAAAATAAGTGAGAAGACAACGTGAAATATAACACCAGGAGCAGTGGAGGAAAAAAGGGGATCCGCGGTCGTTACCCACGCTCCCATTTATCTGTGGAGGAAGTCGATCCAACACTGCTGCACTGATTTGTCATGTTCTCAGTGTGACCTGTCCTCGGACGTCAATATAGCACGAGTGTCAGAGAGTGGGTTTAAACCACCATTAGGTAGTCAGTGTGGAGCTCATTTCTGTTAGTACACACACACGTGTGTGTGTGTGTGTGTGTGTGTGTGAGTGTGTGTGCCTGTGCCACATTAATTTTCACTGTCTGCTGCTGATAAATGTCAAGGTCACTTGAGAGATGGCAGGCAGCAGTTTACCCCCCCACCACCCCCACACACACACACTCACACTCACACATGCAGTAAGAATAAATAAAAGGGAAAAAAAAAAAAAGTGCTCATGATTGCAGTATGCGCTGATGCTCTGTAAACAATGAACCCGCAGGAGTCGTGAATCAACGTGCACCTGTAGTGGGCGGTGAATAATTACAGGGAAAGTGAGTGGAGCGCATGTCGTGCTAAAAAACAGATGCTGCCATGTGGAATAATGTGTTTATCCATGGATGAGCAGCTGAACGTCTGGCCTGATCACAGTCTCTGCTGTAATGGTTTCCTGACAGAGACACTTTGCCCTGTGAAACAAATAGACACTGCTGTATTCAGGCACCATTCAGGATCCTTTTTTAAAATTTTTTTTTCAATCTCAGACATGTGTTTTCAAGTGTTACAATCCTTTTGCATGAATACTTTTTATGGGACCACCTTATATTATATATGTTTTCTTTTCTAAAATATGTTTAATTTATTGGCTACAATTAGGGACGATGAATATGGTCTAGAAACATAATTATTTGGTCACTACATTTTAGCACATTTTTATCTCATCCTTTGACACGGTAGCTGCCAGCTAGCTAGGAATTCTTAGCTATTTAACGTTCATCTGAATAATATCGTAAACTGTTTGCTATTTCCTGATTTACTTTAGTAGTTGTCTTGTAAGATGTGTGTCATTTCAGCTAGCATGTAGCTTCTGTTGGGCTAACATTCATGTATCTTTAGGTTAAACTTCTTACACTGTAATCTGGTGTTATTTTTATTTCAGTTTCTGCGAAATATTTTATTATCTGCTCTGACTGTCCTTTGTCTTTTACTAGTTAAAGCTAGTTAGAAATAGCTTAAGCTAACATTAATTTTTGTTTATATTTAGCTACTTTTAGCCTATTACAACTGGCTGCCTGGCAAAATATTTTCAACGTTAGTTAGCATTCGGACTTTAGCTTTATTGGCTGAAATAACCTGTTATTTAGTTTTTTGTTTTTTTTAACTAGCTGCTAACATAAGCTCCAGTTATTTATTTTTATAGCATTTATTCCAATTGTTTGATATTTTACTTTTAAAATCCTATTTTATTTCCTTATTTTTTATTTATGAAATACTTTGTGGTGAGCTGTTTGCTATTCACGGTCTTATTTGTGAGTTCTTACCAAACACATTTCCACATTTGTGTTTCTGGTAATTCTAGCTATCGCCTGCATCCAGGTGTCTTGGATTAAACTGTTATGAATTTACTCTAAATAGTCACTGAACACTGCATACAGACTTTGAGTCGTTGAACGGTGCATCCTTTCCTGGGGTATATCATTTCCTGAATGTGCAGCTGGATAAAAAACAAACAGTCATTCATCGAGGTTGCCCTTATTATATTTGCATTAAAGCTGTGCACAGGACTGTGGATTCAACAATGACGCAGGCGTTTTATTCACAAAGGTAAATAAATATATGAATTGCAGCCTCGACATTCTGCCGTTCTTTAAAATGCTCACAAAGCATCAGGACGAACTGGGCAGCGTGACAACAGAGCTCACTGACAAAGAAGGAAAACACTGTCGTGTCACTCACTGCTGCCCCCTATAATTATATTATTCAACAATCTATTGATGGCGTTCCAATAATGTCATAATGTTACAACTCAACAAACAACCGCAGCGTTAGCGACGTTAAAGGGATTTGAGAAAAGAATAGAAAGTTTGTGTTTCCATCAGTGTTTGTTGTGATGAACCAGAAAGATCTCATTGGTCGAAGGTGCAATTATGTGACACAGTGGAAAAACAAGGGGCATAGAATGACCTGCACGACCAGGACAGTCCATCACTTGTTTAATGAATTAGGAATATCATTTTAAAATAGAGTTGACCTTTGGAAATGTCAGCTTTTATGTCGTTAAGTCTCACCTTCCATCTCTGTCCTCATCTGTGACGGAATCACACCCTCGAAGGGATTCAAAAACTCTGGCTAATATACAGTACTAGCAAGGTTAGCCCCTCCACCCACCTTACTCTAGAGAACTCTGTTCTGTGCCTCTCTAAGATTGCACCCTCCCTGGTCATTTTACCCCCTGTTACCGAGGGTTAAAGTCAGATCAACGTCAATCAGGAAGACAAAGCCAAATGAAGTCCTAAGTCAGTGTGGACGGCTGGGTGGGGGGAGCAGGGGGGGTAGTCGATTCCCATACAAGTGTCCAGTGTGTAGTACAACTGTTAAGTAGTACACTGAGTGTCCAGTGTGTAGTACAACTGTTAAAGTTGAAGATGTGTCTGGTCCCCATGGTTTAAATCAGAGAGTGAGTCACAGGAGAGGAGTCTCCAGGGTTTGAAGTCAGAGAAGAAGAAGAAAAAAAAACTAGACAGACTTTGAGTCAGAGTCTGATCCAAAAAAAAAAGACTTTGAGTTGAGTCAGTCCCCAGGATATAAATGTGTCCCATTCAATGACTAAAAGTCCAGACTTACTCAGGAAGTAGTCCCCAGTGTCCCCAGTCAGAGTAAAAGCCACTGTGGGCTCAATAGTCTCAGGCAGGATTGTGGATGGAGTCGGGGTCAGTGCCACAGGTTTCTCTGAGCTAAGGTACTATGAGCACGCAGTGTTAAAAAAACAAATTAAACTTGTATTAATGTTCACTAACTGAAGTAACACTCTGGGATTTTGTAGTATTTTCTGTAGGCACAAAAACCGCTAGGACAGGGCTTGTCCAAAAACCTCTTAAAAGTCCTGTCCTCCTTCTGTGTGTGTCCCAGGAGGGCAACTGGAGGAGAATGACTGGTAAAAACCAGACCAGCAACGTGACCAACAAGAATGACCCCCGCTCACTGAACTCCAGAGTCTTTATCGGAAACCTCAACACCACCATCGTCAACAAGACCGACATCGAGGTCATCTTCGGCAAGTACGGCAAAATCGTGGGCTGCTCTGTGCACAAGGGCTACGCCTTCGTACAGTACATAAACGAGAGGAACGCCCGGGCCGCGGTGGCGGGGGAAAATAATCGCATCCTTGCTGGACAGTCTCTCGGTGAGTCATCTTTTACCTTTTTCTCCCTGGGTGGAACAAATCCAGCGCCAATCAAATACAGCTGAAATGAAAAGTCCTTCACAAAGACCCCCACACACCCCCACACACACACACCTGTAAATATAGGGTCTTTCATTAAATCCTCTATGTTGCTGAAGGACTAAATTGTCTCCATGTGTGTCTCTCAGGAACACAAAAAGCCTTGGGCAACTGTGATACTTTAAGTTTTGCCCCCCCCCCCCCCTCCAGACTCCTCGATGCTGAGGTGTGTGTTTTTGTTGTCAGATTGTCTCCATGACAACCCTTGTACTAACAGGGCTGGATGAAACTTCCCAAAAAGTTCGTCCAATGTACTGCAACAATAACTGTGTTAAGACCAGAATATTTGAAGTGGCTCTGGATCCAGTCTTTGTTTCTGTTTTCCGTGTAGGAATTGATTCTCTCTGTGTTTGTGTTGATGTGGAAGGATTTCTCTTCCTCCTCCTTTACCTTTGCCTCTTGTCGTGGCCCGGAGGCAAAGTATTTGTCAGGATGGAAGATGTCATTCAAAAGCTACATTTCCGAGACAATTTGGAGAAATTTGAACAAGTGCAGACGGATTCTATTTATTCAGTTGAGGTCCTTGTCTCGGAGTAAAACCCCTGAAGCAAACCAGGCCACCTTTCTGACTGCGAGTGTAGAATTTCTGCTGCCAGTGAAGGACATGGTCGTTGGTCTTATTTCATTTTCCAGACCTGGAGTGAATCACAAAGACACACCAGGGCATATTTATCAGCACGAAGGCCTGAAAGACGCTTTTGACTGACAAGGTTTGGCCGTTTGACCTGGTCTGAGTGTCTGGGAGTCAAAATACTACAGGAAGTTGACATTATTAGGAATGAAAATACAGGAGAATCAGTGAATGTTTTTAAAAACGTCTATTTCTGCAGAGGTGAGACACTGAAGGAGAGTTATTTTATGGGTTTTTGTTTTTTTTTTTTGGCACAGCTTTAACCTAATTCTGGCGTATCTGCAGTGGCTGTTGGCTGATTTTGTTCTAGTTGTTGCCTGAGATCTAAATGCTACATGTTGTAATAAATTCTGGATAGTTGTGGCCTTATTATTATTTAATTGTGTAGCTTTTTCATTTTGTGTTGTTGCCAGTTAATCCATCTTGTGTAAAACCCTTATCCATATTGTTATATCTATTTTCACAGTAGCTAACCAGTTTAAACCAGTTTAACGGATACAAAGTTTCTCTTTTGGGGCTAACATGTAGCAAACTCCAGGTGAACTGTTAGCTGTGTGGATTACATCAGAGAGTCAAGGCTTCATTTTCTCCTTCATAAATTTCAAAGATTCCATTTGCGTGCAACTAAATCGTAATTCCTACAGGATCGTTTGGCCTTTGGCTATTTTTTTTCCTCTCGTGGAAAAGCTATAGATAGACATAAACTCCGCTCTGTGATAGGTTAAACTCTCTGCCACAGTGGCAGATAAATGAAGATAACGTTCCCCCCTAAGGAAACATAATCAGTTTGGTCTGGAAGTGGAATGTTTGGTAATTTAATGTGAAAGTGGAATATTTACGAGGTTGATATTTGGGAATATTGAGGCTCTGACCTTTTTCGCCGACCGCAAGGATAAATCAGAGCTCAGCAGAGCAGAAACCGGGCAGAGGTAATAATCATCGTACGTCCCCTCAGGCCGCTCAGGTCCACAGGTTGGTCCACAGCCTACAGGTTGGATGCTCGGTCGGTCGGTCGGTCGGCCGCTCATGGGAGTTAGGTTTTCCATCAGCACCTTCGGGGCAGGGACGTTTGTAATCTCAGAGATGACGTGGAATGTATGGCTTTGACCTTGTGGCTCCCAACAAGCACTGGGGCAGATTTCAGATCCTCAGAGGAGCACGGACTCTACGGGTACGGAAAGTTTTTTAAACCCAGGTCTTTCAGAGGAAAGGAAAAATAGTCAGGGAGTTCAGTGGATTTTTATGTAAATGCTGAGCGCCGTTGATGGCTGACATTCATCACCTGAGTCTGTAGGTAGACGGCGTCGAGGAGCTGCGGTGTTTCTGTCAGAGGATGTGGAGGTGAAAGTCGTACGGAGCAGAAACTGAAGGAGACACAGTGAGGACGTTTGTTTGTCCCGCTGTGGTCAAACTCTTCAAACTCTGGACTGAAGAGAATGTGAGAAAATGACAATGAATAGACAACAATTCGTAGAAATACTAGAAATACGAGAAAAGAGTCCCCGCAATCTAGTGGTGAGTCTGTGTTACTGCAGGGGATTAAGTCATGTCCACATTAAGTCGTTTAGGAACTTTTTTTTTGCCCAGAGTTGAAATTATTCAAATAAGGTTTGATCAAAGAGGTTTGAAATAAAGTCCATTCAGACCAGAGATTGTATTCTATTACAACCCAATCAGTATCTGAGTCAAGACTGCAGGGTCTTTGAATTGAAGTCTGAAGTTGTGGGAGGAAGATTTTGGGCCGGGCCCCGGGCTAATGAGCCGTCAGAAGAAGAGAAGCTCCGGACTGTAACTTCAGTCTTCTGGGTTTGGAGGAACCGTGTTCATCCAACTGAGTGAATATTCAGATCAGAACTAGACCCAAAAGATGTAGATTGAAGAACCTGAGGGATTGGACTGGTGTTTGATGTGTGAATTACTTTGCACTTTGTTGAAGTTTTAATGAGACCAGGTAGATGAAGATGAAACAAAAAAAAAGCAAAAAATAAAAGCATTTCCTGAAAAGGAATATTTCAGGAAATAATAAATAAATAAATGCAGTGAATTGTATAAATGGTGTAACCTCTTCAATCTCTAAGTATAGACATGACCATCAGTTGAGTTTATATATATATATCATAGTAAACACACCAGGCTGTTACATGTCTAATATATTGCGATATTATTCCTAAACAAACCTTTAATCTGACTCTACTTCTTTTTCTCCTTTTTTCACGCGGTGCAGTGAAACTAATCATCCCTGAACGTGGCTGCACTTGTGCTTGGTCAGTGTGAGGTTAATTTTTCTGCAGATGTCCAACACCAGAGTCTGCAAACCGTGTTTCACTGTCACTATGATCCACTGCGGTGCCGCTGCTCTCCGTACATACACCCTTCAGTTACAGCCATAAATCTGAAGCACTGCTCCTGCACTGCGGAGAGACTGCAACTCATTCTGCAAGAGCCAGGCAGAGGACGGCGTCTTCTCTACAGTACTCTCAGCCTGTGCGCTCCTCATTAGAAAGCAAATTCTGAATCAGCAGCGAAGTTACTGTTGGAACTCGCCTCGATTATTGATCTGCTAATGTTGTGGTCGCTTTAATTTTGCCCGGTCGTGCTTTGGATTCAGCTGATCCACTTTTGTGCCACTGCCCTCTTTAAAAACTTTCAGTCTAGTCATGATTTGATGCTGAGAAGTCCTGCCTGTGCCTGGAATAACAATTTAACTTCTGACACTTTCACTCACTTCTCATGCCATTTTCTCCCTTCAACAATCACAAAGCTACTTAGTCAGTAATGAGCTGAGGGAAACATGTTTTCAGCACATCACCGCTGTCTAAGAAGCAGCTACAGCTCAGGCTAATTTATAATAGACGAGCTCTGAGTCCAGTTCTGGTAACTCTGACTCCGACTCTGACTCGGTGCAGCCCACTGGTGTTTAATCAGAGTGAATGAAAAAAAATAAGAACTTTCCTCTGGTCTCTGTTTGACTGTTCTGAATTAGACAGATGTGTCCAAAGTAAGGCCCTGGGGCCAGTCAGGGGACATAGATCCATTTCTTTGGTCACCTGTTAAAGTGAACTTAGTTGAGTTACTCGTGACTGATTTCTGGCTTGACTCGTGTGTGTGTTTTAGATTTGTTTTACAAATTACAATTATTTTCAGTTTTGTCATTTATTTGTTCCATTCCAGGAATTAATTTTAAGACCTTTGTTGCCGTCTGGTACTTTTTTTTTTTCCATATATAGTTGGAGGAGGAACTTGTGGCTGATTCTTATATATGTTGTTGTGAAAAACAGGTGTGAATGTTAGTGTGAATGGTTGTTTGACTTGGACTGTGACGATATCCCACGGCTGCTGGGAACCAGATGAACGAACAAAGAAATAATAATGAGATTTTTTATTATCATTATTCCTTAGTGATTCCTGATGGATTAATCTGCTTTGGGGAATTTATTGATATGCAACACTGTTATGGATATGTAAATGAACTCATTTGGAACTCAGTCACCGTCTGTTCTTTACGTAGTCACCGTTAAACTTGTTTTACATACAAACGCAGCGTTCTCCTTTTCTCCGCTGCTCTTTCAATTCCACATCTAAATAACAAATCAAGAAAGCCCTTCATCGCATCCTCCCCAGCCGACGTTTCTTACATCAACACGGCATGAAAAATAAATTAACTACATAATGATTTTGAGTTGAGGATTGACCTCGGCAAAGGATCCGTCTCTTCCTCTTAAAATGTTCCATTAAAGTGTTATTACATGGAGGCTGATTGCAGTTCAGTTTCACTTCCCCAGTCTTGCTGTACAGTAGGTGCCGCTAATGCTGCAGCCTGTCCTCACCAGTCACCGCCGTACAGTCGGACACGGAACGCTGCTGTTTAGTTTAAAAAAATATTCTTCTGGTTTTGAAAACCTGTCCTGGAGATTTGTAGAAATCCTGCAGCTCCACCAGAGAAGAGGTCGCAGCTTCAGCTGCTGATGACTAATTTGTGCACCCAAAGGTCAGAGGTCACAGCCTGTCACCACCGGAGACAATGAGACTGTGTGTGCCTGTGTGTATTTGTGGTGGAAACAATCTAGCCTTGTTATTAATCCAATAAATGGCTAAAAGTTAGCCCAAAACAATGCATCATTAGCTAAATATTAGCTGAAAGAAACACTATTTTATAACAGTTGAAAAATGATCAAAAAAGTCTCCAGTTGCACAAAATGTTTTCACAGTTTGTGACATATTTTTTTTAAGTTAGCAGACATCTAAGTTAGCTAACAGTTAGTCATGCTCA